GTTCCATCAAGACCCTACCATAACACAGAGAAAACCCCTACAACCAGACGACGCACCTATGAAGAACCACTTGGCAATAGTGGGAAGGGAAAATTTCCGTTTTACCAGGTAGAAACCTCCACAAACTTGAGTTTTTTTGGTCTATATCTTTTGACTTATTTGAGCTACCCTGCGTAGTCCTGGTGTACTAAATAGAGCAAATCCTGGGCTTTCCATTTATATCTCATGTGTTTGGGTTGGCTCTTTTACCTGTGTGTGAATGGGTGAATGACTGAATGTAGTGTGAAGCGCTTTGGGGTCCTTAGGGACTAGAAAAGCGCTATACAAATACAGGCCATTTTTACCTCTAGAGAGGAAGGAAAATACAAAAAATGTTCTATGGGAAGGTTCCTTTTTCCTCTATTATGGAAATATGGTATCCAGTATGAGCAGTAGAGCAGTCTGATGACCTGGAATGAAAGGCTAGTGCACCTAATGCTACAGAACCTCTTTCCAGAGGCCAGCAGCCAGAAGAATACATGGTGGGGCTATGAGGAGTAACTGATGATGTTTCTTGCTCAAGACAAGGGTCGTGTCCAGGTTCATGGGCTGCATCTCCTGAGGCCGCATTTGTAGACCGATTACATCACAGCGATGTGCCGAAGGCTGTCCAAATTCGTAGACTCCTCCGAATGCTGCCTACAAATGCGTCCTCCTTTTCCCCGATTTTGAAGGATGGGTCGGGTGTGTCCTTCATGGCCTACCATATCCCAGAATTCATAGCACGGCCCAGCCAAACTCCAGTTTCCAACAATGGCGGCTGCTACTAAGTTTAATTACTCTTACTAAGCTTTCTGGGTCACAAAATAAACTTTTTACATATTTTCAGGCGAGAATTTGTTTTTTCTCAGTGTTTTATTTGCTCCTAAGTAAATCGGTTTGGCAGAGATTAATAGATTTGAATGTTCCCTTATTATTGTGGCATAATTACTTCTATCCACAATAAATAAATTAAACAAATAAGTCAAGCTGTCCTACCTTTATAGTTTTCACGCAGCTGAATAAACCTCAAACAGAAAACTGATTAAACAGAAGTGTGAGATGGTAGAGAATTTATTCTGTCCTGTCCTTATTCTGTCCTGTTATATTTTAGGGAGAAATGAGCAGACGGTTGAGTTTATTAAACTCCACTGGTAATGCACATCTGAAGCCTAGACCATCCAAATTCACAGCCACTCATTTTCGGCCAACCCGGCCTTCGAAGGACTGCCCTATGTGGACTGAACAGGGTTTAGTCTCGACAACCTGTGAGAGATGCTTACGGAAGAAGACAATAAAAAAAAATCACATCACACATACCTTGTGTCAATCAATCAGAAAGTAAGAAAGAAGAAAATAAAACATTTAAAGTACACAAACCTGAGCTGCCATCCAGGAGGGGCAAAACGGGCCTTTATGGCCTTACTATCATCTTCTCTATCTGCTTTCTTACTTATTTGTTCAATTTATTTAATTTTGAACATTACTTTCTCCATGTGTGGAGCTAAGCCAGAGCTGCAGCATGCAGATACCATGTGGACTAGCAAAAGAGGAGTCGGGTGGAGACCTAAACTGCAAACAACTGTACTGTCCATGGTTCACCACCAGATGGTGCAAAAAAGCAAGATCTGGGCATACAGTTCACCAATGCATTAAATGCAAAAGATCGTTACATTGTCCTTCTGTTTGTACCCACTGTCTGTTTTTAACGACAGATTTAGATTTTTTACTTTAATACAGCCACTGAGTGACCCCTATTTCCTTTCCCTCCACCAATTTGTTACATTTGTCACAGTTGTTTTAATTTTAACAACACAGCTTTCCCACAGCATACCTGCACCGTCTCATTGAAAGACAAAAGGCAAGCAAGAAATATCCTTAGCCGACTTATTTTGAAATAGAAAAAATGTATTTACTGTATGTTCTACTACTTTGTATGCTTATACAGAATGCTGTGTGTTGGGTCTGTGTTTCCACAAGCCCCGCTAGTTTAGAGACTTATTCATCATGAAGAACACAAGACATAACAGCACATTTCAACCGGTTTTTCACTCGCTAACGAGGGAAGTTTTGGTCAAGAACCAGCTCTTGAAGCTCAAATCCTTCAAAGAGCAGCTTCCCTCGTCAGCTATTTATTGACAAACTGTTACAATACACATCACAGCAAAGCACCTCCCTTAAGACCCCTCTTGGTTACAAAGACAAGGCACTATGTGTGTGTGTGTGTGTTGTGTGTGTGTGTGTGTGTGTGTGTGTGTGTGTGTGTGTGTGTGTGTGTGTGACCTCCTGCTCACCAAATCATAAAAGCAGGAAGCTTACAACACAAAGATCTCTGGAGATGGTGGTCAGGATCAAAGGAATGGCTTTGATCCTACCGCTTGACCAAGACTTACAAATTTAAGAAACACAATGACACATTCAACAATTAGACTTAACGTTTATCCAGTTTTATTCAATACATGAGGGGGTTTTTTGGGGGGGGGGAGTGGGGGGGTTGTTATTTTATATTTTCCAGTTTTTTCTTTAACGGGTCCATGTACTGACTAGCCATTAATAACTGAGATATAAAATTATACATTTGACACCCCTGCTCTAGGTTAGATTAGTTTGTAGACACATAATATCTCTTCAGAAACAAGGTTGTCAGTGGAGGATGAAAACTTTAAGGTCTTTAGCCCATTTTTTTTTCTATCGCTCAGGTGCTATAAGGTATCTTTGACATTTTAATGTGAATTGTGAACTCATCCTTCTTTCCTTGACAGCTCTACAACAGATTATGAACTGTCAGTCTTGTTTTGTAATTGAAAAGCTTATCAGCCAGCTCATGAGGTGTTGTGTGCCTATAGGTTGGCTGTTTTGTATGTCATACAACTGTAGTCCATAGTTCAATGTCACTTGTTCAAGAGAACATGTCTGCTCTTTATGGTAAACACCACTGCTGTGTGATGGAATACTGAGTATTGTAAAGCTGGGTTTTTCTAAGTCAGTTTTGTCTTTGTCAGATGGTGTGTACTCTACAGTTTGGACATTGAATGAGGTGTCCTTCCCTTTTAGGAGCTAAACCACCTAACAATGTACGTGTAATGATCTCATCGTCTTTCCACTTGTACAACCCTCAGTCAAATAAACAGTAAAACGGAACTAATCTGGATTAACGCCTGTGTTTACAGATGACTTTGAGAGTTAGACAGAGGTGGAAATGCCAGAGAGAACTGGATTAACTCCTTGGCTGCAATTCTGACAGTGATGGTGAACAAGAGGGCATTGAAAATGATGATGACTGTGCACCTGTTTAACGGGCAAAGTAAGCAAAGTCCTCTTGGGGAGTATTTAAAAGACGAAATACAAACATCTCAAAGAATCGCAAAGACAATGGTATGGTTTATAAAGGCCAGACTTACACTGTCAATATTAATACTCTGATTTGTGACGCGCCATCTGAAATGTTTTAAAGGTCATACTGTCACAGTCCTGGGTCATTTTGACCCAGCATTTTCAGTTCTTTTATTCCTTTGTATTATAGTTTGTATTCTGATCCTTTTGTCATGCCTTGTTTATTAGTATTCTATGTTTCAGTTATTCTTTGTGAGGGATTAGTTCTTAAGTTGTGTCTCTCGTTTAGTGTAAGTTCAGTTCAGTGTCAAGTCTGTGTCTGTTTCTTGTTTCCCGTTTTATCGTGAAAGGTTGTGCCTCATCTCAGTGTGTCTCGTTAGCCCAAACCCTCCCAGCTGTGTCTCCCTCCTGTTTTCCATTCCCTGATTACTCCTCTGTGTATATAAGCCCTGTGTTTTCCTGTGTTCCCTGTTGCGTCGTACCAGAACACACACTAGCTGTGCTAGTTGCTAGTGTTGCGAGTGTTGCGTCTCCTGCGTCTCCTGCGTCTCCTGCGTCTCCTGCTCCAGTTTAGTATTTCTTTTCCAGTGTTTCAGTCCTCGGTTCCTCTGTTCAGTTTGTTTGGCTTTTGGTGAGTTTAGTTAGTACGAGGTTTTTCCCAGCAATAAAGCTGTGCTTTAAGTTTCACTTCCGTGTCTGAGTTCTGCATTTTGGGTCCACCACTCCTGCTTGCTCGCCTGCCACACAGCCAACCATGACACATACTCCATATAAGAGTTGTGAAAGATAATCAATCAGAGGTGATCGTGTTGATGGAAGAATAGTTTTAAGGGAACAGGGATGCACTTCTCAAACAGATGAAGGTTTTTCATAGTGGAGTACAGTAACCAAGAAACTGGTATCAGCCCCTGGAATTCTTTGTGTTAGCTCATTTGTCTTAGATTATATGCACATAATAACCACAGGCTCTGTGGTCGGCATTAAGCTGGACACTCTGGTGACAGTGGCAGAGAAAAGGACATTAAAGAAACTGCTGGACATTATGGACAATGCTGGGCATCCTCTGCACACAATCATAAACAATCAGACGAGCCTATTAAGCGACAGGTCGCTTCTCCCAAAGTCAAAAACCAACAGACTTAAAAATTCCTTTGTCCCACACACCATCAGACTGTTTAACTCCTCACTGGAGGGGACAGGGAGGGGAAAACGGGTCAAGGGAGGGCGTGAACAACTGAGCTGTAGTGCTTATTTACACTCAATATTTGTTTCTTATATTCAATTGTGCAATAATCACTGTGCAATATACTCACTCAAATGTTTAATCCTATTTATCCATATTATATGTTCTGTATTTATATATGTGTATATATGGTATGGTTTATGCTTACTCTCATTCCCCTTATTGTATCTGTAACATGCAACTTCTGTCGGTGCTGTGCTACTGGAAACTGAATTTCCCAGAGGAACCCACCCGGGGATTAATAAAGTTTCATCATTGAAAGTTAGGCACCTGTTTATTTACTTAACTCGTGACCCAAAAGTCGTTGTTGTTTATCTATGAGGCAAAAAAAATTAATTTCTCATTAAGTAATTGCAGGAAGAGGGAAGATGCCAAATGAATTTGCTCAACAAATGAGGGTTTTACACGATATAGGTGGAAAGCCACTGAACTATGTCGTTTTTTGCTATACACAGGTCCTGTGGTATTGAAAACTGTTGTCCCCTAAAAGATGCAAACATTTCTTGTCCTTGACTGTATCCATGTCGATAATGCTAGAGTCAGATGAGTGGATTTGAAATGCTTATCGTCAAACTTTTTGTTATGTGCTGTGGTGACCTGACAAGACCTTTCCTATAAACAGTGTACATGGAGTAATTCATCTCCATGAGGATGCCAGCCACTTGAACTGTTCCTTAAATGGCATTTCCTGTTTCCTATTTGAAAACTACCTGCAACAAATCAATAAACATGTGAGGAGTGTGAGAAACCCCCTGGAACAAGTAACCAGGTGTTTGTCTGAAACTGAACATTCAGAAGTGGACGATACCCAAATACACCCGAAAGTGCTTGATTCTGTTAAAGAAAGGGACAGTTGTTTTCTTTTGAGCAAAACAGCTTTTGTTTTGCTCAACAGAAAAATGCAGACGGGCCTTTTGCTTGTAAAATTCTGTGCAAGCGTCACACTTCACCACTATTTCACCAACCATGTGGTTCTGGACATTTGAATAGAGTGTGCATAGGAAATGGTCATGTCAGGATGAAAAACTACTGTCAGGATGCACTACTGCTAGACAGGGATCTGTTCCGTAGGGTGGCCTGCCTCCCACAAGAAGCTGGTGGTTTTGTCCTCCAGGGATCATCAACTGATCGTCTTTTCCATCTGTCTGTTTTCTGTATCTTTCATTGTGACTCCTGCATGTCCTTTCTCACTACATCCATAAACCTCCCAGGGCCTCTGTGTCTTTTCTCTTGCCACAATATCCTACCCCCAGTCTAACCCTCATCGCTCTTCTCTGCATGTCCAGACTCTCTCAACCTCTCCCCTTTTACTCGATCCATTAGCTAAACCTGTACTGCCTCTCTAATGTAGTTATTAGCCACTCAAGTCGCTTATTTATGTCTGTCACCTCCACCTCCACATTGTCTCTTTTAACATGACAAACTGTGATTGTTGATTAGGGTTTGTGTCATTTTCTCTGCAATTGAACTATTTGCTTTGTATACGTCTGCTACATTGGTACTCAAAATGGGCTCCCTGTGCTATTGTAATGTATTCGGTTCTAAATTGGATGCTAACAGGTTTGTAACTGACAATGTAAAAATGGAAGGCATCGAAGGCGTATCAGTGTATGTGTATGCGGGTGTGTAGAGTGTCCTTCGCCCTGCCAGGCTAAGTAAACAGTCTTCCAGCCTACCCAGGTGACATGCGTGCGTGCGTGTGTGTGTTTATCCCGTGTCAGCTGAGAGAAAGGTCACCACGCCCAGTTAAGCAAAGGTTCAACAGTCTTCAGTGGACCCAGGAGGCCTTGAAGGAGGGACAAGAGATCTGACAACATCCTGTTTTCATGGAGAATTTTTGTTGTTCCAGTCAGCTTCGACCTTGGCAGGCCTTTAGCTGCGCCAGTGGGATAGCCGCATAGTAACATGGTAGTGTTTTGGTTTAGTGCGAACAAACTGCATCCAGTTTTACAGTTTTGGTCTAATGTCCGTCACTGGTCACCAGGTGTCTCAATTCCCGTTCTTCTTCTCCAAGATCTTATCCATAATGCCATAATGGCACCGGTTCTGACATAAACAGTAGTAACCAGACCGAAAAGCAGCGCACATTTCGGTGCTTTATTTCGGTTGCTTTTTTTTTCCTGAGATGTCATACACGATTCTAGCCAATCATTTTACGTTTCCCAAGGATAGTAGGCGGGGCCAGGTACGTACGTTCTTTTAGAGCAGAGCTACAGATTAAAAATGCCCAAGGCGAAGCGGTCAAAAGTCTGGCTGTACTTCACAGCATAGCAAAAGATGCAAACTCAGCAGCCTGCAACAAGTGCTTTAATGTGATACTGTGCAAAGGAGGTAACACCTCGAATCTGATAAAACACCTGGCGACGCATAGCGTCGCGATCGTGGCTCAAGAGTTGGGAGTTGCCTTGTAATCGGAAGGTTGCCGGTTCGACAGTCTCGGTCGTTGTGTCCTTGGGCAAGACACTTCACCCGTTGCCTACTGGTGGTGGTCAGAGGGCCCGGTGGCGCCAGTGTCCGCAGCCTGCCTCTGTCAGTGCGCCCCAGGGTGGCTGTGGCTACAATGTAGCTTGCCATCACCAGTGTGTGAATGTGTGTGTGAATGGGTGGATGACTGGATATGTAAAGCGCTTTGGGGTCCTTAGGGACTAGTAAAGCGCTATATAAATACAGGCCATTTACCATTTACCATAGCGGGATAATTTAAAGCCAAGAAATGCACCAAACCTACTACAGGTGTGGTGCCTGTTATCGGACCCGGAGTTAGCAACATCCCCCAAAAACCCGAAGAGGAGAGTCCTGGCCCCTAGCCCTGCCAGTGTAGCAGAAATGATGATGGATGATGATGGCAGCAGCAGCCGTTCTTCTCTGCGTGAGTAGCTTAATGTTGTTCGTGTGTAATTTACGTTGAGTAGGCTAACCACGTTATTACATTAATGCATGCTACAGTTAAACTATTTACTAGTTAACACCCTTGTTTTCTTAACTAATATTTACTTAGTTGCATCCGGGTATGTCAATGTGTAATTCAATATTTAGTTTCTTTTTATTATAATAACAGATTCCTAACTTGCAGTTGGCGGATGATGTGAACACTCCCAAAAAGGTACTCATAAACGCTGCGTGTCCCAGATACTGGCTGTGCAGCTTTGCTGGATCGTTCTAACAAGGTAACGCTTAACTTCTTTGTTCGTATCACAGCATAAACAGAATAAATAATTTTCTACTATAATTTGTGTATAATAGTAGATGTTGTGTATAAATGCAATAATTATAGTGCGTGAATTTAAAAATATAGTTGAAACTGCATTTTGTGTGTCATAAAACTGATCATTGAATCATATTCCTTAATAATATTTACATTTAAAACTAATCTAATTTTACTTAAAAATTCTCAAAACTGTTACTGTTGTAAATTAGCTATGTGATTATTAGCATATGAGGTTTATTTGTAAAGTTTGTGTCAGGATTTAGTGTTTATCAGAAACAGCAGCTACATTATTTATATGTCGCTTCCCTTTGGTAATATCTGTAGAAAACAGTAAAAAAAAAATCATATTAATGGTCTGATAAAACAATTATTTTAGATTATAAGATTAGTTCAACTACAGGCATGGGTTAAACACATGAAAGTGACTATGGATGCCCTAACTTCGGCTTCCAGTGAGAAATATGTAGAGCTGACTTCTTTCATATACACATTACTGCTAAAATAAAAAACTTTGCGTCTTGGAGTGATGTTGAAAAACAAGTTGATACATCTGTTAAAAGCATTAAATTGTTTTTGGAAAACCTACCCGAAGTGCTTTCAAGTTCATCCAAAATACCACAATGAGAGTACTAACAGCAACCTATACATTTTTGCCAGTGTAAGTTTTCAGTCAGCTAAGCCACAGAAATCTAAGGAGCTTGGAAAGAAAAACGACTCGACTTGTTTGAGTTTCTTGAGTTTCTTCTCGACTCAAACAAATCCAGTCGCTTTTCTTTCCAAGCGCCTTAGATTATTACTTTTCCTTCACGTTTTTATAGTTTTTGTTTTTTATGGTTCATATTTTAGTATGGTTACATGTAATCTTTCAATTATTACTTTTTAAAAAAATATTTGTGACGTCTGATAAAGCAAATATTTTCATTTTTGCATTGTGTGTTTGTCTTGCATGCACATAATATTTCTTAGCCAAGCAGTAGAAATACACAGGTTCCCTGTTTTATCTGCTCAGCTCTTCACTAACATCATGCTCTCTGGACTCAGCAGGATGTTCTGTGAGTACAACAGACTGATTATTTAAATATAGAGTTTTTCATAAAGTCAGAGGGAAAGATTAAGTGTCACTCTTCTTAAGCTTTTTATCTTTAAGAGGTACTTGAGATGAGGTGCTTTCTAATCTTCCTTTATAAAAGACTTCAAACTTTTCAAATCTAATTAAATGGGTTATTAATTATTTACAAGTTACTTGTAACAACTTTTAGGTTGGATTTTAAATCATTCAAACTCAATAATAATATTTTTTTCTTTTCTGATTTTCAGTTCTGGGAGTAACATGTTTACTCATGAGTTCAGGTAAATACACGTTTCAGTCACTTTTATCCTAATGTGCCAGTTTTTAACTTTATATTGCCACCTTGATCCGATCTAATAGATTTGCTGAACTTGTGCTTTCACTCTGATTACATGGGACCTTTTATTTACATCCTGTCTGTTAATTCTAAACCATGTAAGAAACCCTGAGTGTAAACACAAGCATCAAGCTGTTACGTGAAATTGCGCAGGAAGCTGCCTGTGTTAACTGTGACTATCACCAATAAATGTGGGCGTGTTTCCTGAATCAACAGCAGGCCTTACCTCCTTTGTCGCTGGATTCTGGATTCTGATACCAAGTACTAATACTGATAACGATTTGCAGCTCATGGATCCTGTCCTGATTTAAGACGTGAATCTGTCATCAGATTCACGTCTTTAATGTTTTTTAATTACAACCAAATGATGTGATTGGGTGTCAACTTGTATTCTGTGAAATGTGCCATACAAATAACTGACAGTAAATGACAGTTAACACAAGATGGTTATTATGCTCATGTCATACGCTGTGTGGCAGGCAGGATGTAGGACCCAAATGCAGGACTCACAGACACGAAAGGATGAACTGAAAACGGCAGATGTATTGCGGTGTTGCAAAAACATACTAGAAACCAAAAGCGCTTTTCTACTGTAAAGCACTTTGGGTTTTCAGTTACTATATATAACATTTATTTACTATTGTGTAAGTAAATAGGTGGATTGTTTATTTGGATATTTATTTGCTTTAAAAAGGCAGGAACAACTAAACTATTAAATTGTGACTATAAAATTAGCAATACAGCACTTATTAATACAGCAAAGACTCATTATTTTAAATTTCAGGCTATACCAGAGCTGAGACCACCGTGTCCCCACAAAGAAAGCCCCCCTGTGACAGCCAGATCTGCCGCTTGAGCCACGGTAAGAAAAGCATACTCTGTATATGAAAGATGTACAGACCTCCTGGGTTAGAAAAGTGGAGCTAATATAGAAGTGCCTTAAGCCAGCAAAAGAAGTCCATGTTGCTTGAGTCTAAGCAGAGATGCTCAGACGTTGGGTCCAAATTTGTGCTCGTAAGTTCAAACACACATACAGCCAGGGAAGTTGAGTGCAGAGTTTTACAAACACAAATCTTTTTTACACACACAAATTACACAAATTCTCATCTATAGATACACAAACATAAAAATTTTCACATATTTTGGTTCACAAGGTTACAAAACCCAGTTCACAAGTACACATTTGATTTACAAGTACAAAATATTACTGACCAAAATTTGAGCCCATACCAGCAGAGTTCACACAACTGTAGACACTGCATTAATCCCTGTGTCAACTACTTCTCCCCTTTTCCCTCACTTGGAAACAAGACCCAGAGTTACTTAAACTCCTCCTACTAGGGGTCGCCTGTCCCATTGAACCAATCAGCCAAAAAGGCAACGCCCATAATAATGGAAAATTTATGCTTTCATTAAGCGTTTAAACTGGTCTGTTAAAAAAAAAATTAACCTCACACATATAATTGTTTTAAAAAATTGTTATTTAAATAAACAGTAATAGAGACCAAAACAGTTTTACTTCTGCTGCCATGTAAAGGTGGACCTTTTATTATGGCAGTGACTCACATCTCTCTCTTTTTTACTAAGCTTTCTGGGTCACAAAATAAACTTTTTACATATTTTCAGGCGAGAATTTGTTTTTTCTCAGTGTTTTATTTGCTCCTAAGTAAATCGGTTTGGCAGAGATTAATAGATTTGAATGTTCCCTTATTATTGTGGCATAATTACTTCTATCCACAATAAATAAATTAAACAAATAAGTCAAGCTGTCCTACCTTTATAGTTTTCACGCAGCTGAATAAACCTCAAACAGAAAACTGATTAAACAGAAGTGTGAGATGGTAGAGAATTTATTCTGTCCTGTCCTTATTCTGTCCTGTTATATTTTAGGGAGAAATGAGCAGACGGTTGAGTTTATTAAACTCCACTGGTAATGCACATCTGAAGCCTAGACCATCCAAATTCACAGCCACTCATTTTCGGCCAACCCGGCCTTCGAAGGACTGCCCTATGTGGACTGAACAGGGTTTAGTCTCGACAACCTGTGAGAGATGCTTACGGAAGAAGACAATAAAAAAAAATCACATCACACATACCTTGTGTCAATCAATCAGAAAGTAAGAAAGAAGAAAATAAAACATTTAAAGTACACAAACCTGAGCTGCCATCCAGGAGGGGCAAAACGGGCCTTTATGGCCTTACTATCATCTTCTCTATCTGCTTTCTTACTTATTTGTTCAATTTATTTAATTTTGAACATTACTTTCTCCATGTGTGGAGCTAAGCCAGAGCTGCAGCATGCAGATACCATGTGGACTAGCAAAAGAGGAGTCGGGTGGAGACCTAAACTGCAAACAACTGTACTGTCCATGGTTCACCACCAGATGGTGCAAAAAAGCAAGATCTGGGCATACAGTTCACCAATGCATTAAATGCAAAAGATCGTTACATTGTCCTTCTGTTTGTACCCACTGTCTGTTTTTAACGACAGATTTAGATTTTTTACTTTAATACAGCCACTGAGTGACCCCTATTTCCTTTCCCTCCACCAATTTGTTACATTTGTCACAGTTGTTTTAATTTTAACAACACAGCTTTCCCACAGCATACCTGCACCGTCTCATTGAAAGACAAAAGGCAAGCAAGAAATATCCTTAGCCGACTTATTTTGAAATAGAAAAAATGTATTTACTGTATGTTCTACTACATTTTTGTATGCTTATACAGAATGCTGTGTGTTGGGTCTGTGTTTCCACAAGCCCCGCTAGTTTAGAGACTTATTCATCATGAAGAACACAAGACATAACAGCACATATTCAACCGGTTTTTCACTCGCTAACGAGGGAAGTTTTGGTCAAGAACCAGCTCTTGAAGCTCAAATCCTTCAAAGAGCAGCTTCCCCTCAGCTATTTATTGACAAACTGTTACATACACATCACAGCAAAGCACCTCCCCTCAATGACCCCTCTTGGTTACAAAGACAACCTACTGTGTGTGATGTGTGTGTGTGTGTGTGTGGGTGGGTGGTGTGTGTGTGTGTGTGTGGTGTGGTGTGATCTCCTGCTCACCAAAAGGATCATAAAAGCAGGAAGCTTAAAGTCACTGGTGGATGAGGTGGTCAGGATCAAAGGAATGGCTTTGATCCTACCGTGTTGAACCAAGACTTACAAATTTAAGAAACCACAATGACACATTCAACAATTAGACTTAACTGTTTATCCAAGTGATTTATTCAATACATGAGGGGGTTTTTTGGGGGGGGGGGGAGTGGGGGGGTTGTTATTTTATATTTTCCAGTTTTTTCTTTAACGGGTCCATGTACTGACTAGCCATTAATAACTGAGATATAAAATTATACATTTGACACCCCTGCTCTAGGTTAGATTAGTTTGTAGACACATAATATCTCTTCAGAAACAAGGTTGTCAGTGGAGGATGAAAACTTTAAGGTCTTTAGCCCATTTTTTTTTTCTATCGCTCAGGTGCTATAAGGTATCTTTGACATTTTAATGTGAATTGTGAACTCATCCTTCTTTCCTTGACAGCTCTACAACAGATTATGAACTGTCAGTCTTGTTTTGTAATTGAAAAGCTTATCAGCCAGCTCATGAGGTGTTGTGTGCCTATAGGTTGGCTGTTTTGTATGTCATACAACTGTAGTCCATAGTTCAATGTCACTTGTTCAAGAGAACATGTCTGCTCTTTATGGTAAACACCACTGCTGTGTGATGGAATACTGAGTATTGTAAAGCTGGGTTTTTCTAAGTCAGTTTTGTCTTTGTCAGATGGTGTGTACTCTACAGTTTGGACATTGAATGAGGTGTCCTTCCCTTTTAGGAGCTAAACCACCTAACAATGTACGTGTAATGATCTCATCGTCTTTCCACTTGTACAACCCTCAGTCAAATAAACAGTAAAACGGAACTAATCTGGATTAACGCCTGTGTTTACAGATGACTTTGAGAGTTAGACAGAGGTGGAAATGCCAGAGAGAACTGGATTAACTCCTTGGCTGCAATTCTGACAGTGATGGTGAACAAAGGGCATTGAAAATGATGATGACTGTGCACCTGTTTAACGGGCAAAGTAAGCAAAGTCCTCTTGGGGAGTATTTAAAAGACGAAATACAAACATCTCAAAGAATCGCAAAGACAATGGTATGGTTTATAAAGGCCAGACTTACACTGTCAATATTAATACTCTGATTTGTGACGCGCCATCTGAAATGTTTTAAAGGTCATACTGTCACAGTCCTGGGTCATTTTGACCCAGCATTTTCAGTTCTTTTATTCCTTTGTATTATAGTTTGTATTCTGATCCTTTTGTCATGCCTTGTTTATTAGTATTCTATGTTTCAGTTATTCTTTGTGAGGGATTAGTTCTTAAGTTGTGTCTCTCGTTTAGTGTAAGTTCAGTTCAGTGTCAAGTCTGTGTCTGTTTCTTGTTTCCCGTTTTATCGTGAAAGGTTGTGCCTCATCTCAGTGTGTCTCGTTAGCCCAAACCCTCCCAGCTGTGTCTCCCTCCTGTTTTCCATTCCCTGATTACTCCCCTGTGTATATAAGCCCTGTGTTTTCCTGTGTTCCCTGTTGCGTCGTACCAGAACACACACTAGCTGTGCTAGTTGCTAGTGTTGCGAGTGTTGCGTCTCCTGCGTCTCCTGCGTCTCCTGCGTGTCCTGCGTCTCCTGCGTCTCCTGCGTCTCCTGCTCCAGTTTAGTATTTCTTTTCCAGTGTTTCAGTCCTCGGTTCCTCTGTTCAGTTTGTTTGGCTTTTGGTGAGTTTAGTTAGTACGAGGTTTTTCCCAGCAATAAAGCTGTGCTTTAAGTTTCACTTCCGTGTCTGAGTTCTGCATTTTGGGTCCACCACTCCTGCTTGCTCGCCTGCCACACAGCCAACCATGACACATACTCCATATAAGAGTTGTGAAAGATAATCAATCAGAGGTGATCGTGTTGATGGAAGAATAGTTTTAAGGGAACAGGGATGCACTTCTCGAATAGCTGAAGGTTTTTCATAGTGGAGTACAGTAACCAAGAAACTGGTATCAGCCCCTGGAATTCTTTGTGTTAGCTCATTTGTCTTAGATTATATGCACATAATAACCACAGGCTCTGTGGTCGGCATTAAGCTGGACACTCTGGTGACAGTGGCAGAGAAAAGGACATTAAAGAAACTGCTGGACATTATGGACAATGCTGGGCATCCTCTGCACACAGTCATAAACAATCAGACGAGCCTATTAAGCGACAGGTCGCTTCTCCCAAAGTCAAAAACCAACAGACTTAAAAATTCCTTTGTCCCACACGCCATCAGGCTGTTTAACTCCTCACTGGAGGGGACAGGGAGGGGAAAACGGGTCAAGGGAGGGCGTGAACAACTGAGCTGTAGTGCTTATTTACACTCAATATTTGTTTCTTATATTCAATTGTGCAATAATCACTGTGCAATATACTCACTCAAATGTTTAATCCTATTTATCCATATTATATGTTCTGTATTTATATATGTGTATATATGGTATGGTTTATGCTTACTCTCATTCCCCTTATTGTATCTGTAACATGCAACTTCTGTCGGTGCTGTGCTACTGGAAACTGAATTTCCCAGAGGAACCCACCCGGGGGATTAATAAAGTTTCATCTTGGGAATAGTTAGGCACCTGTTTATTTACTTAACTCGTGACCCAAAAGTCGTTGTTGTTTATCTATGAGGCAAAAAAAATTAATTTCTCATTAAGTAATTGCAGGAAGAGGGAAGATGCCAAATGAATTTGCTCAACAAATGAGGGTTTTACACGATATAGGTGGAAAGCCACTGAACTATGTCGTTTTTTGCTATACACAGGTCCTGTGGTATTGAAAACTGTTGTCCCCTAAAAGATGCAAACATTTCTTGTCCTTGACTGTATCCATGTCGATAATGCTAGAGTCAGATGAGTGGATTTGAAATGCTTATCGTCAAACTTTTTGTTATGTGCTGTGGTGACCTGACAAGACCTTTCCTATAAACAGTGTACATGGAGTAATTCATCTCCATGAGGATGCCAGCCACTTGAACTGTTCCTTAAATGGCATTTCCTGTTTCCTATTTGAAAACTACCTGCAACAAATCAATAAACATGTGAGGAGTGTGAGAAACCCCCTGGAACAAGTAACCAGGTGTTTGTCTGAAACTGAACATTCAGAAGTGGACGATACCCAAATACACCCGAAAGTGCTTGATTCTGTTAAAGAAAGGGACAGTTGTTTTCTTTTGAGCAAAACAGCTTTTGTTTTGCTCAACAGAAAAATGCAGACGGGCCTTTTGCTTGTAAAATTCTGTGCAAGCGTCACACTTCACCACTATTTCACCAACCATGTGGTTCTGGACATTTGAATAGAGTGTGCATAGGAAATGGTCATGTCAGGATGAAAAACTACTGTCAGGATGCACTACTGCTAGACAGGGATCTGTTCCGTAGGGTGGCCTGCCTCCCACAAGAAGCTGGTGGTTTTGTCCTCCAGGGATCATCAACTGATCGTCTTTTCCATCTGTCTGTTTTCTGTATCTTTCATTGTGACTCCTGCATGTCCTTTCTCACTACATCCATAAACCTCCCAGGGCCTCTGTGTCTTTTCTCTTGCCACAATATCCTACCCCCAGTCTAACCCTCATCGCTCTTCTCTGCATGTCCAGACTCTCTCAACCTCTCCCCTTTTACTCGATCCATTAGCTAAACCTGTACTGCCTCTCTAATGTAGTTATTAGCCACTCAAGTCGCTTATTTATGTCTGTCACCTCCACCTCCACATTGTCTCTTTTAACATGACAAACTGTGATTGTTGATTAGGGTTTGTGTCATTTTCTCTGCAATTGAACTATTTGCTTTGTATACGTCTGCTACATTGGTACTCAAAATGGGCTCCCTGTGCTATTGTAATGTATTCGGTTCTAAATTGGATGCTAACAGGTTTGTAACTGACAATGTAAAAATGGAAGGCATCGAAGGCGTATCAGTGTATGTGTATGCGGGTGTGTAGAGTGTCCTTCGCCCTGCCAGGCTAAGTAAACAGTCTTCCAGCCTACCCAGGTGACATGCGTGCGTGCGTGTGTGTGTTTATCCCGTGTTCAGCTGAGAGAAAGCGTCACCACGCCCAGTTAAGCAAAGGTTCACAGTCTTCAGTGGACCCAGGAGGCCTTGAAGGAGGGACAACGAGATCTGACAACAGTCCTGTTTTCATAGGAGAATTTTTGTTGTTCCAGTCAGCTTCGACCTTGGCAGGCCTTTAGCTGACGCCAGTGGGATAGCCGCATTAGTAATCATGGTAGTTGTTTTGGTTAGTGCGAACAAACTGCATCCAGTTTTACAGTTTTGTCTAATGTCCGTCACTGGTCACCAGGTGTCAATTCCCGTTCTTCTTCTCCAAGATCTTATCCATAATGCCATAATGGCACCGGTTCTGACATAAACAGTAGTAACCAGACCGAAAAGCAGCGCACATTTCGGTGCTTTATTTCGGTTCTTTTTTTTTTCCTGAGATGTCATACACTTCAGATTCTAGCTAATCATTTTACGTTTCCAAGGATAGTAGGCAGGCCCAGGTGCGTATGTTCTTTTAGAGCAGAGCTACAGATTAAAAATGCCCAAGTCCAAGCGGTCAAAAGTCTGGCTGTACTTCACAGCTGCATGTACTGCATGTACTTCACAGATGCAAACTCAGCAGCCTGCAACAAGTGCTTTAATGTGATACTGTGCAAAGGAGGTAACACCTCGAATCTGATAAAACACCTGGCGACGCATAGCGTCGCGATCGTGGCTCAAGAGTTGGGAGTTTGCCTTGTAATCGGAAGGTTGCCGGTTCGACAGTCTCGGTCGTTGTGTCCTTGGGCAAGACACTTCACCCGTTGCCTACTGGTGGTGGTCAGAGGGCCCGGTGGCGCCAGTGTCCAGCAGCCTTGCCTCTGTCAGTGCGCCCCAGGGTGGCTGTGGCTACAATGTAGCTTGCCATCACCAGTGTGTGAATGTGTGTGTGAATGGGTGGATGACTGGATATGTAAAGCGCTTTGGGGTCCTTAGGGACTAGTAAAGCGCTATATAAATACAGGCCATTTACCATTTACCATAGCGGGTATAATTTAAAGCCAAGAAATGCACCAAACCTACTACAGGTGTGGTGCTTGTTATCGGTACCGGAGTTAGCAACATCCCCCAAGAACCCGAAGAGGAGAGTCCTGGCCCCTAGCCCTGCCAGTGTAGCACAATCGATGATGGATGATGATGGCAGCAGCAGCTTTTCTTCTCTGCGTGAGTAGCTTAATGTTGTTCGTGTGTAATTTACATTGAGTAGGCTAACCACGTTATTACATTAATGCATGCTACAGTTAAACTATTTACTAGTTAACACCCTTGTTTTCTTAACTAATATTTACTTAGTTGCATCCGGGTATGTCAATGTGTAATTCAATATTTAGTTTCTTTTTATTATAATAACAGATTCCTAACTTGCAGTTGGCGGATGATGTGAACACTCCCAAAAAGGTACTCATAAACGCTGCGTGTCCCAGATACTGGCTGTGCAGCTTTGCTGGATCGTTCTAACAAGGTAACGCTTAACTTCTTTGTTCGTATCACAGCATAAACAGAATAAATAATTTTCTACTATAATTTGTGTATAATAGTAGATGTTGTGTATAAATGCAATAATTATAGTGCGTGAATTTAAAAATATAGTTGAAACTGCATTTTGTGTGTCATAAAACTGATCATTGAATCATATTCCTTAATAATATTTACATTTAAAACTAATCTAATTTTACTTAAAAATTCTCAAAACTGTTACTGTTGTAAATTAGCTATGTGATTATTAGCATATGAGGTTTATTTGTAAAGTTTGTGTCAGGATTTAGTGTTTATCAGAAACAGCAGCTACATTATTTATATGTCGCTTCCCTTTGGTAATATCTGTAGAAAACAGTAAAAAAAAAATCATATTAATGGTCTGATAAAACAATTATTTTAGATTATAAGATTAGTTCAACTACAGGCATGGGTTAAACACATGAAAGTGACTATGGATGCCCTAACTTCGGCTTCCAGTGAGAAATATGTAGAGCTGACTTCTTTCATATACACATTACTGCTAAAATAAAAAACTTTGCGTCTTGGAGTGATGTTGAAAAACAAGTTGATACATCTGTTAAAAGCATTAAATTGTTTTTGGAAAACCTACCCGAAGTGCTTTCAAGTTCATCCAAAATACCACAATGAGAGTACTAACAGCAACCTATACATTTTTGCCAGTGTAAGTTTTCAGTCAGCTAAGCCACAGAAATCTAAGGAGCTTGGAAAGAAAAACGACTCGACTTGTTTGAGTTTCTTGAGTTTCTTCTCGACTCAAACAAATCCAGTCGCTTTTCTTTCCAAGCGCCTTAGATTATTACTTTTCCTTCACGTTTTTATAGTTTTTGTTTTTTATGGTTCATATTTTAGTATGGTTACATGTAATCTTTCAATTATTACTTTTTAAAAAAATATTTGTGACGTCTGATAAAGCAAATATTTTCATTTTTGCATTGTGTGTTTGTCTTGCATGCACATAATATTTCTTAGCCAAGCAGTAGAAATACACAGGTTCCCTGTTTTATCTGCTCAGCTCTTCACTAACATCATGCTCTCTGGACTCAGCAGGATGTTCTGTGAGTACAACAGACTGATTATTTAAATATAGAGTTTTTCATAAAGTCAGAGGGAAAGATTAAGTGTCACTCTTCTTAAGCTTTTTATCTTTAAGAGGTACTTGAGATGAGGTGCTTTCTAATCTTCCTTTATAAAAGACTTCAAACTTTTCAAATCTAATTAAATGGGTTATTAATTATTTACAAGTTACTTGTAACAACTTTTAGGTTGGATTTTAAATCATTCAAACTCAATAATAATATTTTTTTCTTTTCTGATTTTCAGTTCTGGGAGTAACATGTTTACTCATGAGTTCAGGTAAATACACGTTTCAGTCACTTTTATCCTAATGTGCCAGTTTTTAACTTTATATTGCCACCTTGATCCGATCTAATAGATTTGCTGAACTTGTGCTTTCACTCTGATTACATGGGACCTTTTATTTACATCCTGTCTGTTAATTCTAAACCATGTAAGAAACCCTGAGTGTAAACACAAGCATCAAGCTGTTACGTGAAATTGCGCAGGAAGCTGCCTGTGTTAACTGTGACTATCACCAATAAATGTGGGCGTGTTTCCTGAATCAACAGCAGGCCTTACCTCCTTTGTCGCTGGATTCTGGATTCTGATACCAAGTACTAATACTGATAACGATTTGCAGCTCATGGAACCTGTCCTGATTTAAGACGTGAATCTGTCATCAGATTCACGTCTTTAATGTTTTTTAATTACAACCAAATGATGTGATTGGGTGTCAACTTGTATTCTGTGAAATGTGCCATACAAATAACTGACAGTAAATGACAGTTAACACAAGATGGTTATTATGCTCATGTCATACGCTGTGTGGCAGGCAGGATGTAGGACCCAAATGCAGGACTCACAGACACGAAAGGATGAACTGAAAACGGCAGATGTATTGCGGTGTTGCAAAAACATACTAGAAACCAAAAGCGCTTTTCTACTGTAAAGCACTTTGGGTTTTCAGTTACTATATATAACATTTATTTACTATTGTGTAAGTAAATAGGTGGATTGTTTATTTGGATATTTATTTGCTTTAAAAAGGCAGGAACAACTAAACTATTAAATTGTGACTATAAAATTAGCAATACAGCACTTATTAATACAGCAAAGACTCATTATTTTAAATTTCAGGCTATACCAGAGCTGAGACCACCGTGTCCCCACAAAGAAAGCCCCCCTGTGACAGCCAGATCTGCCGCTTGAGCCACGGTAAGAAAAGCATACTCTGTATATGAAAGATGTACAGACCTCCTGGGTTAGAAAAGTGGAGCTAATATAGAAGTGCCTTAAGCCAGCAAAAGAAGTCCATGTTGCTTGAGTCTAAGCAGAGATGCTCAGACGTTGGGTCCAAATTTGTGCTCGTAAGTTCAAACACACATACAGCCAGGGAAGTTGAGTGCAGAGTTTTACAAACACAAATCTTTTTTACACACACAAATTTACACAAATTCTCATCTATAGATACACAAACATAAAAATTTTCACATATTTTGGTTCACAAGGTTACAAAACCCAGTTCACAAGTACACATTTGATTTACAAGTACAAAATATTACTGACCAAAATTTGAGCCCATACCAGCAGAGTTCACACAACTGTAGACACTGCATTAATCCCTGTGTCAACTACTTCTCCCCTTTTCCCTCACTTGGAAACAAGACCCAGAGTTACTTAAACTCCTCCTACTAGGGGTCGCCTGTCCCATTGAACCAATCAGCCAAAAAGGCAACGCCCATAATAATGGAAAATTTATGCTTTCATTAAGCGTTTAAACTGGTCTGTTAAAAAAAAAATTAACCTCACACATATAATTGTTTTAAAAAATTGTTATTTAAATAAACAGTAATAGAGACCAAAACAGTTTTACTTCTGCTGCCATGTAAAGGTGGACCTTTTATTATGGCAGTGACTCACTGCGGGAGACTCCGGTGGATGTTCAGGGAACTGCAGGTTTTAGGATTTTAGCACTGGCTTCAACTTTTAAGGTTAAAATTTCTTTTTTTGTTTTGTTTTGTTTTGTTTTGTTTTGTTTTGTTTTGTTCATCACCTCTGTAACAAAAAAATAATAAATTTAATCTACTAATAAATACTGATTCGATATCAAAGTTAGTCTGTGCCATTGAGCTCCACTGTTAGCACTGAACTCTTAAAATCACATTTGTAAGTGTTATGTCACTTCTTTTTTGTCAGAAAAATTCAAAAAATTGCTGAAAATTAAACAATTTATGTCTCTTCTTTTAGTCCAGAGTGTAACATGCGAAGGATTTCAGGCAAACCTGCAGTGTGGTGAGGGTTATTTTTTGTTGGTTTGTCTTTTTATTTTTGAATTAATTTGTTTGAAATGCAAACATGGTTATAGTTTAATGTCTCCCTCAGGTGAAGGGCAGGTTTTAGTCATCCACGGAGCTAATTATGGACGCCGTGACAAAACCACATGCTCTGCTGGACGTCCGGCCTCTCAGCTCCAAGTTGTCCAGTGCTCAAGTCAGACGAGCACCAATGTTGTAGCTGAAAGGTACAGATTGGCTGTCTTTGTTTAGTTTTACTTTTTTTTCCAGATTACACAATGTGCAGTATGTTAAACATCTGCTGACTCACTTTTTATCTGCATTCAAAGCTGTAATGGGAAGAACAGCTGTACTATCTCAGCGAGCAACTCTGTGTTTGGAGACCCCTGTGTGGGCACCTACAAGTATCTGGAGGTGGATTATACTTGTCAGTGTAAGTACCTCAAACAGTAGTGCACATACAACTCCAAAAAAATGCTAGCAAACAATATATTCACAAGAACTATCAACTTTAATTTCATCCAGTGGAGTCAAACCTCTGTACCTTAAACAGTAACGTACACATGCTAGTGACCAAAGGACCATTCTTTTTGATTTCACTTAGTGCATAAATACACATTTCGATTTAATTTTTGGATTTCAAGATTGTGCTCCAGAATCAAACTCAACTTTATTCCACTTTTAAAAGCTAGAAGGTGAACAATCAAAAATTTAAAAATGTGAGGTGGAAAACACAAAATCAAATCCAAACCAAGAAGGAAAACGTTGCAAAACTTACAAATTAAATCTGTGATCATGAAATAATATTTAGTGTGAGAATAAAGAAATTATTTTACTGCTACAATGTAGCCTTCATCATTAATATTGCATTAAAATGTTTATTAAAGCTACTGGCATCATATTAACCTTTTTATTACAGGTGCAGCTATAATCATTGTATACACACATTTTATGTTGCGCTCATTAAAAGAGTTGATGTTCGGTTTATTTAAGGTCTTAAGCTTCGGTGGGCGCGATGTCCCAGCCGATCTATTATGTAAGTGACTTGGACCAATGGAAGGTTAAAACAGCATTCACGCTTACAGACATATATGATTTAAACATAGGCCAGGCCGAAGGCCAGGAATTCATTTAGCTTCTAACTGCATTTGAGCTTGCCTAGTAACAAGTGACAGAAGAAGAGTCAAGAAAGTGTAAATCCCCCGGGGAGTATTCGGAGAATGAGTTTAATTACCATGTATGGAAGAATGATTAGAAAGAGAAATGTCTCTGTCTATTTTAGCTATTTTTCTCCACATTAATTTTTAAAGTTTGTGATTTAATGAATGTGATTTACGCTTTTCTCTCAGTCCAGACTGTAACATGTGAAGAATCTGAGGCAAACCTTCAGTGTGGTGAGGTTTTCTTTTTTGTAACTTATTGAAAACATTTCATTGAAATGCAAACTTGTTTATAGTTTAACGCTGTGATCTCGTCCTCAGGGAAAGGGCAGATTTTAGTCATTCACAGAGCTGATTATGGACGCCATGACCAAACCACGTGCTCTAACTTACAACCTCACTGTAGGCTCAGAGATGTCCAGTGCTCAAGTCCAGAGAGCATTGAAGTAATAGCTGCAAGGTACAGATGGTTACTGTCTTTTTTCAACTTTTAATTTTCTCCCAGATATGCAGTATGTCAAACTTCTGCTGACTCACTTTTTATCTCCATTCAAAGCTGTAATGGGAAAAACAGCTGTAATATCTCAGCGAGCAACTCTGTGTTTGGAAACCCCTGTTTTGGCACCTCCAAGTACCTGGAGGTGGATTATACTTGTCAGTGTAAGTACCTTATTACAGAGGAAAACAAGTATAAAAAATCATAGTACGTTTTTATTTTATTCAAAGACAGATTGCAGGATGCAGAAAAGATGAAACAGAAGGAAAAGGTTGCAAAAGAGTTCAAGTTACGAATTAAATCATGAACTAATAATCAGTCTGCACATGAATTATTACACTTTCTAATGTGTTTTGTGTTTTTCTCTCAGTCCCGAGTGCAACATGTGAAGGATCTGAGGCAAACCTTCAGTGTGGTGAGGTTTTCTTTTTTGTAACTTTGTTGAATTTCATTTATTGAAATGTAAACATGGTTATTGTTTAATGCTATGATCTCTTCCTCAGAAAAAGGACAGGTTTTAGTCATCCACGGAGCTAATTATGGACGCCGTGACAAAACCACATGCTCTGCTGGACGTCCGGCCTCTCAGCTCCAAGATGTCCAGTGCTCAAGTCAGACGAGCACCAGTGTTGCAGCTAAAAGGTACAGATTGACTGCCTTTGTTTAGTTTTACTTTTTCTTCTTTTACCAGGCTACACAATGTGCAGTGTGTTAAACCCTTTGCTGACTCACTTTCTATCTGCATTCAAAGCTGTAATGGGAAAAACAGCTGTACTATCTCAGCGAGCAACTCTGTATTTGGAGACCCCTGTGTTGGCACCTACAAGTACCTGGAGGTGGATTATACTTGTCAGTGTAAGTACCTTAAACCAGGGCTGTCCAGCTCCAAACCTCAAGGGCCGGTGTCCTGAAGGTTTTGGACATCACCCAGGGTCAACACACCCAGTGTAAGTGCCTTAAACAGTAATGTACATACAACTCCAAAATAATTCTGCTAGCGTCCAAAGCAGTCTCAGGGACCATCCTCGTTGATTTCACTGAGTGGGGTCAAACCTCTGTGTCTGAGGCTTTATAATGGACATTCACATCATGATAACCAATAGGACAGATTCTTTCTTATACTATTTTACTTTTGTACAAAGAGAGTTTGGAGAATTTGCAGCTAGTACTTCTTGTTCAAAATATCAGTGTATTGTGTTGACAAGCTGAAGTTGAACTTCGGGCTTAGTTACCCTTGTATACCAAGGTAGTGCTGCAAAATCAAACTAAACTTTATTTGAACTTTAAAAGTTTAAAGAAGAACAAACAAGAAACAAAAAATGTGGAAATCCAAAAAAAAAAATGGCAATAAAAATATGGCATTGGACAGAAAAATAGATTTTAAACATGGATTCAAAGACTCAAATACCGATTACAGGACATGAAACAATTTTAAAAAAGATGAAATTCAATAGCTGATTTGAAGATTCACAAAAAAGTCGGGTTTTTTTTTTCCTTTAGTGGATAGAGACGGTGTTGATAGACGTGAAAGCAGGATGAGAAAGGAGAAGAGATGCAAACCTGGGCATACTGCTCTCCAGCCATACGACATACGGTTGCCTGCTCACCCACTGAGCTAAACCGGCACAAGTTTTTTTTTTTTAATTAGTAGTTTTAATTTGCAAACAGAGGGTTAAGTGGGAATTAGACACCCCTGAGCAACAAGACATGGGTGCATGTAATTAACACAGCTGAGGACAACCAAACAGTAGCATATCAAAACCCAAATAAAGACATAACTAAAAAAGGCAATGAGCAACCAGTACTAAATCAAGGAGACATTGAAACATGAAAATAAATACTGTAAATGGACTTGAATGGAGAAATTAATGGAGAACAGAGTAAGGGAAGGTTATAAGAGTGTGGAGAAAAAGCAGAGAGGAAGGCAGCAAAACTTGAACTTCAAGATATTAAAGAAAAGTTTACTTTAAAGTAGAGATGGACCGATCCGATATTACGTATCGGTATCTGATATTACGTATCGGTATCGATATTACGTATCGGTATCGGTCCGATACTGACCTAAATTACTGGATATCGGAGAGAAATAAAAATGTAATCCGATCCATTAAATATCAAAAAAGCACCTCACAAAACTTGCGACACGGCGTAACTCGGCTCATAACGTCGGAGCACGTTGGAGCAGTGTGCTCACGTGATAGAGCGGCTGTGTGTATTTGGAGCCTCGCTACCAAACCAGCATTTCATCTCTGAGGAAGTGATCCCAGAGAGAAGTAAAGCAAGTGTGTAAGTTCATCTCTGAATGTTTGTAAAGCATTCGCGCGTTAAGCTTAACAACCGATATAAGGAGCGAGTGCCTCTTCTCTCTCCCTCCCTCTCCTGCTGCTACTTCAAACGTGAAACTGATTAATGATCAACTGATCGCCTTTTCTGTCGCTAGTCAAACCTCTGTGACTGAGGCTTAATAATGGACATTTAGCCACTGAATCATGACATTTTACAGAACATCCTCTTTTTATTGTCGTTTTCTTTAAAAAATGAACAAACATCAATATAATGTGGAGCATTCGCAGCTAGGACTTAATCCAAAACATCTGTTTATTGTGTTGGCCTAAATACACCTTTGTTTTTAAGGAGGTTCTCCAAAATAAACTAGTTTTCTCTTTATTTTTGTAGGGTCTTTAAGGGTATGAAATGCCTTGAAGTGACTGCTGATTTGGCAATATTTAAATAAAACTGAAATTAATTTTAAAAAGGTAAAACATGAACCAAAAGGAAACTGGGGAACATGTGAGATGCAAAACATAAAATGACAGTAAAAATTAAAATGGACAGAGGAAAACAAAAATAATAAAATCATACTACGTTTCATATATATTATTCAAAGACAGATTGCAGGATGCAGAAAAGATGAAACAGAAGGAAAAGGTTGCAAAAGAGTTCAAGTTACGAATTAAATCATGAACTAATAATCAGTCTGCACATGAATTATTACACTTTCTAATGTGTTTTGTGTTTTTCTCTCAGTCCCGAGTGCAACATGTGAAGGATCTGAGGCAAACCTTCAGTGTGGTGAGGTTTTCTTTTTTGTAACTTTGTTGAATTTCATTTATTGAAATGTAAACATGGTTATTGTTTAATGCTATGATCTCTTCCTCAGAAAAAGGACAGGTTTTAGTCATCCACGGAGCTAATTATGGACGCCGTGACAAAACCACATGCTCTGCTGGACGTCCGGCCTCTCAGCTCCAAGATGTCCAGTGCTCAAGTCAGACGAGCACCAGTGTTGCAGCTAAAAGGTACAGATTGACTGCCTTTGTTTAGTTTTACTTTTTCTTCTTTTACCAGGCTACACAATGTGCAGTGTGTTAAACCCTTTGCTGACTCACTTTCTATCTGCATTCAAAGCTGTAATGGGAAAAACAGCTGTACTATCTCAGCGAGCAACTCTGTATTTGGAGACCCCTGTGTTGGCACCTACAAGTACCTGGAGGTGGATTATACTTGTCAGTGTAAGTACCTTAAACCAGGGCTGTCCAGCTCCAAACCTCAAGGGCCGGTGTCCTGAAGGTTTTGGACATCACCCAGGGTCAACACACCCAGTGTAAGTGCCTTAAACAGTAATGTACATACAACTCCAAAATAATTCTGCTAGCGTCCAAAGCAGTCTCAGGGACCATCCTCGTTGATTTCACTGAGTGGGGTCAAACCTCTGTGTCTGAGGCTTTATAATGGACATTCACATCATGATAACCAATAGGACAGATTCTTTCTTATACTATTTTACTTTTGTACAAAGAGATTTTGGAGAATTCGCAGCTAGTACTTCTTGTTCAAAATGTCAGTGTATTGTGTTGAGAAGCTAAAGTTGAACTTCGGGCTAAGTTACCCTTTGTATACCAAGATTTTGTTTCAAAATCAAACTAAACTTTATTTGAACTTTAAAAGTTTAAAGAAGAACAAAGAAAAAACAAAAAAAATGTGGAAATGCAAAAGAAATGGCAATAAAATATGGCATTGGACAGAAAAATGGGTTAAGAGGGAATTAGACACCCCTGAGGAACAAGACATGGGTGCATGTCATTAACACAGCTGAGGACAACCAAACAGTAGCATATCAAAACCCAAATAAAGACATAACTTAAAAAAGGCAATGAGCAACCAGTACTAAATCAAGGAGACATTGAAACATGAAAATAAATACTGTAAATGGACTTGAATGGAGAAATTAATGGAGAACAGAGTAAGGGAAGGTTATAAGAGTGTGGAGAAAAAGCAGAGAGGAAGGCAGCAAAACTTGAACTTCAAGATATTAAAGAAAAGTTTACTTTAAAGTAGAGATGGACCGATCCGATATTACGTATCGGTATCGATATTACGTATCGGTCCGATGCTGACGTAAATCACTGGATATCGGAGAGAAATAAAAATGTAATCCGATCCATTAAATATCAAAAAAGCACCTCACAAAACTTGCGACACGGCGTAACTCGGCTCATAACCGTAGCACGTCGGAGCAGTGTGCTCACATGATAGAGCGGCTGTGTGTATTTGGAGCCTCGCTACCAAACCAGCATTTCATCTCTGAGGAAGTGATCCCAGAGAGAAGTAAAGCAAGTGTGTAAGTTCATCTCTGAATGTTTGTAAAGCATTCGCGCGTTAAGCTTAACAACCGATATAAGGAGCGAGTGCCTCTTCTCTCTCCCTCCCTCTCCTGCTGCTACTTCAAACGTGAAACTGATCAATGATCAGCTGATCGACTTTTCTGTCGCTAGTCAAATCTCTGTGACTGAGGCTTAATAATGGACATTTAGCCACTGAATCATGACATTTTACAGAACATCCTCTTTTTATTGTCGTTTTCTTTAAAAAACGAACAAACATCAATATAATGTGGAGCATTCGCAGCTAGGACTTAATCCAAAACATCTGTTTATTGTGTTGGCCTAAATACACCTTTGTTTTTAAGGAGGTTCTCCAAAATAAACTAGTTTTCTCTTTATTTTTGTAGGGTCTTTAAGGGTATGAAATGCCTTGAAGTGACTGCTGATTTGGCAATATTTAAATAAAACTGAAATTAATTTTAAAAAGGTAAAACATGAACAAAAAGGAAACAGGGGAACATGTGAGGTGCAAAACATAAAATGACAGTAAAAATTAAAATGGACAGAGGAAAACAAAAATAATAAAATCATACTACGTTTCATATATATTATTCAAAGACAGATTGCAGGATGCAGAAAAGATGAAACAGAAGGAAAAGGTTGCAAAAGAGTTCAAGTTACGAATTAAATCATGAACTAATAATCAGTCTGCACATGAATTATTACACTTTCTAATGTGTTTTGTGTTTTTCTCTCAGTCCCGAGTGCAACATGTGAAGGATCTGAGGCAAACCTTCAGTGTGGTGAGGTTTTCTTTTTTGTAACTTTGTTGAATTTCATTTATTGAAATGTAAACATGGTTATTGTTTAATGCTATGATCTCTTCCTCAGAAAAAGGACAGGTTTTAGTCATCCACGGAGCTAATTATGGACGCCGTGACAAAACCACATGCTCTGCTGGACGTCCGGCCTCTCAGCTCCAAGATGTCCAGTGCTCAAGTCAGACGAGCACCAGTGTTGCAGCTAAAAGGTACAGATTGACTGCCTTTGTTTAGTTTTACTTTTTCTTCTTTTACCAGGCTACACAATGTGCAGTGTGTTAAACCCTTTGCTGACTCACTTTCTATCTGCATTCAAAGCTGTAATGGGAAAAACAGCTGTACTATCTCAGCGAGCAACTCTGTATTTGGAGACCCCTGTGTTGGCACCTACAAGTACCTGGAGGTGGATTATACTTGTCAGTGTAAGTACCTTAAACCAGGGCTGTCCAGCTCCAAACCTCAAGGGCCGGTGTCCTGAAGGTTTTGGACATCACCCAGGGTCAACACACCCAGTGTAAGTGCCTTAAACAGTAATGTACATACAACTCCAAAATAATTCTGCTAGCGTCCAAAGCAGTCTCAGGGACCATCCTCGTTGATTTCACTGAGTGGGGTCAAACCTCTGTGTCTGAGGCTTTATAATGGACATTCACATCATGATAACCAATAGGACAGATTCTTTCTTATACTATTTTACTTTTGTACAAAGAGATTTTGGAGAATTCGCAGCTAGTACTTCTTGTTCAAAATGTCAGTGTATTGTGTTGAGAAGCTAAAGTTGAACTTCGGGCTAAGTTACCCTTTGTATACCAAGATTTTGTTTCAAAATCAAACTAAACTTTATTTGAACTTTAAAAGTTTAAAAGAAGAACAAAGAAAAAACAAAAAAAATGTGGAAATGCAAAAGAAATGGCAATAAAATATGGCATTGGACAGAAAAATGGGTTAAGAGGGAATTAGACACCCCTGAGGAACAAGACATGGGTGCATGTCATTAACACAGCTGAGGACAACCAAACAGTAGCATATCAAAACCCAAATAAAGACATAACTTAAAAAAGGCAATGAGCAACCAGTACTAAATCAAGGAGACATTGAAACATGAAAATAAATACTGTAAATGGACTTGAATGGAGAAATTAATGGAGAACAGAGTAAGGGAAGGTTATAAGAGTGTGGAGAAAAAGCAGAGAGGAAGGCAGCAAAACTTGAACTTCAAGATATTAAAGAAAAGTTTACTTTAAAGTAGAGATGGACCGATCCGATATTACGTATCGGTATCGATATTACGTATGGGTATCGGTCCGATGCTGACGTAAATCACTGGATATCGGAGAGAAATAAAAATGTAATCCGATCCATTAAATATCAAAAAAGCAACTCACAAAACTTGCGACACGGCGTAACTCGGCTCATAACCGTAGCACGTCGGAGCAGTGTGCTCACATGATAGAGCGGCTGTGTGTATTTGGAGCCTCGCTACCAAACCAGCATTTCATCTCTGAGGAAGTGATCCCAGAGAGAAGTAAAGCAAGTGTGTAAGTTCATCTCTGAATGTTTGTAAAGCATTCGCGCGTTAAGCTTAACAACCGATATAAGGAGCGAGTGCCTCTTCTCTCTCCCTCCCTCTCCTGCTGCTACTTCAAACGTGAAACTGATCAATGATCAGCTGATCGACTTTTCTGTCGCTAGTCAAATCTCTGTGACTGAGGCTTAATAATGGACATTTAGCCACTGAATCATGACATTTTACAGAACATCCTCTTTTTATTGTCGTTTTCTTTAAAAAACGAACAAACATCAATATAATGTGGAGCATTCGCAGCTAGGACTTAATCCAAAACATCTGTTTATTGTGTTGGCCTAAATACACCTTTGTTTTTAAGGAGGTTCTCCAAAATAAACTAGTTTTCTCTTTATTTTTGTAGGGTCTTTAAGGGTATGAAATGCCTTGAAGTGACTGCTGATTTGGCAATATTTAAATAAAACTGAAATTAATTTTAAAAAGGTAAAACATGAACAAAAAGGAAACAGGGGAACATGTGAGGTGCAAAACATAAAATGACAGTAAAAATTAAAATGGACAGAGGAAAACAAAAATAATAAAATCATACTACGTTTCATATATATTATTCAAAGACAGATTGCAGGATGCAGAAAAGATGAAACAGAAGGAAAAGGTTGCAAAAGAGTTCAAGTTACGAATTAAATCATGAACTAATAATCAGTCTGCACATGAATTATTACACTTTCTAATGTGTTTTGTGTTTTTCTCTCAGTCCCGAGTGCAACATGTGAAGGATCTGAGGCAAACCTTCAGTGTGGTGAGGTTTTCTTTTTTGTAACTTTGTTGAATTTCATTTATTGAAATGTAAACATGGTTATTGTTTAATGCTATGATCTCTTCCTCAGAAAAAGGACAGGTTTTAGTCATCCACGGAGCTAATTATGGACGCCGTGACAAAACCACATGCTCTGCTGGACGTCCGGCCTCTCAGCTCCAAGATGTCCAGTGCTCAAGTCAGACGAGCACCAGTGTTGCAGCTAAAAGGTACAGATTGACTGCCTTTGTTTAGTTTTACTTTTTCTTCTTTTACCAGGCTACACAATGTGCAGTGTGTTAAACCCTTTGCTGACTCACTTTCTATCTGCATTCAAAGCTGTAATGGGAAAAACAGCTGTACTATCTCAGCGAGCAACTCTGTATTTGGAGACCCCTGTGTTGGCACCTACAAGTACCTGGAGGTGGATTATACTTGTCAGTGTAAGTACCTTAAACCAGGGCTGTCCAGCTCCAAACCTCAAGGGCCGGTGTCCTGAAGGTTTTGGACATCACCCAGGGTCAACACACCCAGTGTAAGTGCCTTAAACAGTAATGTACATACAACTCCAAAATAATTCTGCTAGCGTCCAAAGCAGTCTCAGGGACCATCCTCGTTGATTTCACTGAGTGGGGTCAAACCTCTGTGTCTGAGGCTTTATAATGGACATTCACATCATGATAACCAATAGGACAGATTCTTTCTTATACTATTTTACTTTTGTACAAAGAGATTTTGGAGAATTCGCAGCTAGTACTTCTTGTTCAAAATGTCAGTGTATTGTGTTGAGAAGCTAAAGTTGAACTTCGGGCTAAGTTACCCTTTGTATACCAAGATTTTGTTTCAAAATCAAACTAAACTTTATTTGAACTTTAAAAGTTTAAAAAAGAACAAAGAAAAAACAAAAAAAATGTGGAAATGCAAAAGAAATGGCAATAAAATATGGCATTGGACAGAAAAATGGGTTAAGAGGGAATTAGACACCCCTGAGGAACAAGACATGGGTGCATGTCATTAACACAGCTGAGGACAACCAAACAGTAGCATATCAAAACCCAAATAAAGACATAACTTAAAAAAGGCAATGAGCAACCAGTACTAAATCAAGGAGACATTGAAACATGAAAATAAATACTGTAAATGGACTTGAATGGAGAAATTAATGGAGAACAGAGTAAGGGAAGGTTATAAGAGTGTGGAGAAAAAGCAGAGAGGAAGGCAGCAAAACTTGAACTTCAAGATATTAAAGAAAAGTTTACTTTAAAGTAGAGATGGACCGATCCGATATTACGTATCGGTATCGATATTACGTATGGTATCGGTCCGATGCTGACGTAAATCACTGGATATCGGAGAGAAATAAAAATGTAATCCGATCCATTAAATCACGCTGGGGATATCTCAGCGGAGAGTGATTTAAGTAAAAAAATATAAAGTAAAATATGATCAGCTGAGTCAAGATGGGAAAAATAAGAGAAAGAGAGAAGATGGGAGGGAGACAGACACAGCGGATAATCCAAAGACTGCTCGCTTACAAGAAGCAGGGGGATCACCTGACACCCCCTGTAACGTAGATCCTCTGGACAAAGAACCAAATGAGGACAAAGGAACCACTGGAAGTGATGACCTGGATCAAAAACATACAGAAGTGGATGATGCTGAAAAGAACAGACTAGATAATAATACTGATTTTAAACTTGATATCAGTGATCGATCAGCAGTCTGTGATGATCTAAGCAGACAGTATGAGATGAGTAAATTAATGGATGATAAAGCAGATAACGATGAAAAGGCTAAAGATAAACAGTCAGAGAAAAAAAGCCATGCAGAGCATCCAGCTGACACTGTTGGAGAGAACATATGTGAACATCAGGAGAATAAACAAACCTGTAGTCCTTCTCATGCTGAGGAGAAAACAAAAACAGATTTTCAACATGACACAAAAGGAAAGATTAGTGCTGATAAACCAACAGCAGAGATGTGCTGTGACACATTTCAGGATAAAGAAAAAGTTGATGATAGAAAAGAAAACATACTACAAGATGATCAGAGTCATAAACATGGAAACAGACACAGTGATACACTGAACATGCAGGAGATCAGTGTTACACATTCAAGTGATAATGATGTTTGTGTAGAGAGAGAAATCAGAGATGTGAAGGAGGACAGGAGAGAAAGAAAAGGAGACGAAAAAGGTGACCACAGTAAGTTTGAACAAAACACAGTAGGGGAGGTAAGTGGTGCTGCTACAACACAGAAAGATGTCGATGTGGAGGAAAAGAAAGAATATGAAGGAAATACTAAACAAATTCAGATCAGAGAGAAACCCCATCTTGCCTTTGTTGATCTGTCTTCTGTTGGCCTGGTTTGACTCCTCTCTGCTTTAGTTTTTTCATTAGTAGCATCATCCTGGTTTTCTTTGGGTGGTTCTATTATTTCTGCTCCTGCTGGTCTAATTATCTGAGACCAGCAGGAGCAGAAATAATAGAAGCACCCAAAGAAAACCAGGATGATGCTACTAATGAAAAAACTAAAGCAGAGAGTTTTCAACTAAAAGCCAGACCAAAAATTCAGGGAGTCACAGAAGGAGGACGTGGTTCACAGAAGTCAGGAAAAGTTCAAATAACTTGTGAAGAAAATAGGCAGAATTCTCAAGGTGAATGTTTTGAGACAAAGATGAAGAACACGGGAATAGAAAGTGTAGGGAAACCCTCACAGGACAGCTCTGTTAGACATGTCAAATATAACGAAGGACACACTGAAAATAAATCTCAGACAAAAAGTGCAGCCAAGCCCAGAGAAGAAGAAAAACAACATGGCACAAGCCATCCAAAATACGCCAAAGTTCCACAAGTGGATCTAGAAATAGAAGCTGCTAAATCAAGTGCAGACAATGAGACAGTTGGGTGCTGTTCACAGTTTGTCACTGTGGTACAGCGTTGTTTTCGTTGCTCCTCTGCTGCAGGGAGAGACACACCTGATAATGATGTTTGTGTAGAGAGAGAAATCAGAGATGTGAAGGAGGACAGGAGAGAAAGAAAAGGAGGCAAAAAAGGTGACCACAGTAAGTTTGAACAAAACACAGTAGGGGAGGTAAGTGGTGCTGCTACAACACAGAAAGATGTCGATGTGGAGGAAAAGAAAGAATATGAAGGAAATACTAAACAAATTCAGATCAGAGAGAAACCCCATCTGAGACCAGCAGGAGCAGAAATAATAGAAGCACCCAAAGAAAACCAGGATGATGCTACTAATGAAAAAACTAAAGCAGAGAGTTTTCAACTAAAATCCAAT